AGGACGATCCAGATCGTCCTGGACGATCCTGGAGCAGATTTTTGATATTACATAAAGTTAGTACAATGAATCAGTAGCAGTAGTGTATGTATCAATATCAATAACAATCTAATAACGACATGAATGATTATGCTATAACAGTGAAATCATGTAGTAACAGTAAATCCGTACATAAATGATAAATCCTTTGTAAACGAATCACAATAAAAGAATCAGTAAAAGAATCAATACTAGTAAATCCGTCAAATTAAATACAATTAACATCACCCAATCATATCAATAGAATCAATCAGATCAATAAAGAAATCAATTCAGGTCAATAATATTATCAATCGATATGAAATCACATAAAATGATCAATTCAATACATCATAAGAACAGTTGAAATCAAATCAATACAATAAAACCTATTTCATATTGATTAATGAATCACATGCAGCAGTTCAATACGGTGTATCAATGAAGCGATAGTATCAATGAAGCGATAGTATCAATGAATCAATATCAATGAATCAATAGTATCCATGTCCATAGTATCAATGAATCAATATAATATCAATATCAGTATCTATATACAGTGACACGTACAATAACAGTAAACTCGTAAATCCATCAATAAATCTATTCGTCACGAAATCAATCCAATACATTAAATCTGTCGATATCAAGAAATCTATAAATCCATTCAAAATCAATAAAATCAATAAATCCGTCGGTATAAATAAATGCATACAGTAATCAATAAATTCATAATGAGATCATAAGAACAGTACTTACACAAATCATACAATATCATAGTCTTACTCGACAAGTACAATCACTGGCTATTAAGGTGTTTTTCAAGTATCGATGTATCGTTGTGTCGTTATATCCATATCCATATCCATATCAGTTGGCTCAATAAGAGTCGACACTCTGTGCCCGTCGGCTGCCCGTCGGCATATACTCCTTATGACTCCCAATTGTTGTATCCATGATCCATAGAGGATAACACCAAACCCTTTTTAAAGAAAAGCCCGTCGGCCCACCATCCTGTACAGGTCAAATCCATCTCCAACCAACGGTTCAACCAGTCTTCACTTATCTTTCAGTAACAATAACAGTAATTCAATCATATATGCGCATTCATATATATCTCATTAATACATAACAATCAACAAACACAAGCTAGCTAAATGTCGAAAACCCCTGAAAATATCGTATAGTAGACAGAAGTCGTTGCAAAAATGCACAGTTCCCGAAAAATACCAAATTACCAGAAATCGAATAAAACAACTTTACAAAACTTTACTTGTACTGAAGAAACATTTTTCAACACCCAGATAAATTCCTATTCGATAAAAATCATACATAATCCAAAATACCTGGTGAAAACTTTCCGGAAAATACTCAAATCGTGCAAAATCATCATTTCAATAGCATACCAAAAGTTACGCGGTAAAAGTTTCGTCCATACAAAGATAGGCTCATTTTTCGGTAACGGAAACACAAAACGGAGCAGAAAAATACCAAAACACAAAATCTTCGAAATCAGAAATAGGATTCGGAGTCCTTACTGCGAGACGAACAATTCTTCTAACAGCGACGTCGGACGAAAAGCGCACCGCGAGCTCCAAAACCCAGCTTCTTTCTCTTTCCTTCTCTTTCTCTCTCCTGCCTTTCTCTCTCTCTTCCAAATATCTCAAAATATCTCAAATCCTCAATTTATCAAGCAGGATCGTCCAGGAAAATGCTTAGATCGTCCCGGGACGAACTCCTCTGGACACGGATCGTACAGACGAAAATTAATTCCAATTTATTTCGTCCCTGAACGAAACTCTCGGGTTCAGTTCGTCCCGACGGTTCGTCCCGATGCACCCAGGTTCGTCCGAACGAATCTGTATTTTTACTCAGTTCATCCAGACAGTTCGTCCGTACTAACCATACAGATTTTCACAATTTTCTTCAGTTCGTCCCGTACTAAGGCCAGTTCGTCTGGACTAACAGCACTCACAAAAATGAACTTTTGAGGGTTTTACATGGCGGAGGTCCGAAAGACCAATGTCAAGTGACAATGGTTGGAAGGACCGTAGTAGAACGACGGTGTTCGAAAGTACCGTAGTCAACAGAAAACAGAGGTCGGAAACATTGTAGTCAGGTGACAGTGGTAGGAAGGATCGTAGTTGGCAAGCGACATAGGTCGGAAAGACCGTAGTTGGGTGACGGTGGTCGGGAGGACCGTAGTCGAGCGACAATGGCCGAAGGACAATTGTCAGACAACAGTGGTTCGAAGGACTATAGTCGACAGGCGACGAAGGTCGAAAAGACCATAATCGGGTGACGGTGGTCAGAAGGATCATAGTTGAGCGACAGCGGCCGGAAGGATCGTAGTCGAGAAACGGTGGTAAGAATGATCCTAGTCTACAGATAGTGGTCGGAAGAATTGTAGTTGGCGGAAGACGAAAGTCAAAAATATCATAGTCGGGTGATAGTGGTCGGAAGGACTGTCGTCGGCGGGCAATGGAGATCGGAAAGACCATAGTTGGGTGACGGTGTTGGGAGGACTGTAGTCAGGCAACGGTGCTCCGAATGATCGTAGTCGACGAGTGACGAAGGACGAAAAGACCGTAACAAGTGACGGTGGTTGGGAGGACCATAATCGGGCAACGACGATCGAAAAGGCCGTAGTCGGGCTACGACAGTTAAAAGGGCCGTAGTGGGGCGACAGCGGTAGGAAGGGCCGTAGTTGAGCGACGGCGGTCGGAATGGCCGTAGTTGGGTGACGGCGGTCGGAATTACCGTAATCAAGAGACGGTGGTCGGAGAGACCATAATCAGATGACCATGGTCGAAAAGATCGTAATCGGCAAGAGACAGAGGTCAGAAAAAATAGTAGTTGGGTAACGGTGGGCGGAAGTACCGTAATCGGGTGACGGTAGTCCGAAGGATCTTAGTCGACGGGCGACAAAGGTTGGAAAGACCGTAGTCAGGTGACGATGGTCGGAAGGACCGTAGTCAGGTGACGATGGTCGGAAGGACCGTAGTCAGGAGAACCATAGTCGGGAAATGGCGATTAAAAGGACCGTAGTCAGGTGACGGTGGTTGGAAAGACCGTAGTCGGCCAACAGTGATCAGAAGGATCGTAGTCGGCCAACAGTTGTCAGAAGTACCGTAGTCGGCCAACAGAGGTCAGAAGGACCGTAGTCTAGAGACATTGGATAGAGATATTATACTTTATAGTCGAGCGATGGTTCGAAGGACCGTAGTCGGGCGATGGTTCGAGGGACCGTAGTCGGGCGATGGTTTGGAGAGGCTACAATCGACGGTGGCCGTAATCACCACAAGCAGAGTACTTGAACGCATCTATGGACTTATCCTCCATCGTGGTGACACCGACATCCCAAGCTGCCACTCCTCTCCACCGCCACGTTCGACATCCAGTTGCTCTGCCCAAAAAACAAAGATGCTAGCATATGGTCTGAAAATTGCCAACTCCATTACTCCAAACAATAGGACTGCCCAAATAGAGCAGGTTAGCGCAACCATTAGGGACGTATCATATGTATACGACAACCCAGTTTTGATTTATGTTCATGATGCTGGATTGGATATGTGTATGAAAGGTAATGAGCAAATTATAGCTCACAGTAAATTTCCTGAATACATCCATGAATGATACCTTTGAAGCATCTAAAATCAAATGTTTGTAAGAATGCCCCTGGCATCAGATGCAAAAAATTCAGCAAACAGTGAATTAGACACTTGCCCAAACCTGCCCCATAGCGTTTGGTGATCACACCCCTGGTCAACTTGGTTGGAAGAGGCTTTCCTACACCCAACTTGATAAGTTTCGAAAGACGGATGTACTAGCAGAGAATAGGACCTCCTTAAACTTGAATGATGAAGAAGTCCAACTACTCCAACAGATGACTTCTCAGGTCTTCAACCTGATTGGTTTACCATTGATTACTTCTGGCTTGTGCTCATGTAAATAAGCTTGTGGGTATACATCGAAAACGCAAAATTTTTTATTCAAGGATATGGTAATGATTTTTTACATCTACCTCCGTCTCGCTGATGCGCTAACTACAACTATCTCGACGGAGTCGATCTCTCTCTACAAATGGGGAGTATGCTGCGGAGCTTCATAACTATAATATACCTTAAGGAGCAGTATACCTTTTTGTTACCTTTTTTCTTTCTAGAATATTCTATTGCCATGATATATGCAAAAAATGACATAAGGAGGAGAGGAGATGAAGAATAACATATATTTTTTAGCCTTGAACTTGTGTTAGTTCCCCGATTTTAGGTGTTACTTCTAGAAGATCATTTCTTCCATCTATCCGCTACATCAGTTCTCCTCAAACATAGCCAATCTCATGATACCTTCCCCAATGACATCATTGGCAAGTGAACTCTTCTCACAATCCGCCAGTCATGTGATGCCTTCCCCTATGACGGCGCCTTCGAGCATATTCTTCTTTTCCTTACATGTCGTCAATCCCATGATGTCTTTCCCAGTTGCATTGCACAATGGTAGTCCAGCAAGCAAACTCTTCTCCTCACATGCCACCGATCCCACAATATCATTCAACCAGCACATCAAACCGCAGTTCAAAGCAATTTCATTGATGATGGACTTCAATAAGTACTCTGCAAATACAAGAGGGGTAGTTTCAACTATAATGAGATTCTAGGCATTTTTCACCCAAAAAATAAATAATGTAAATATTTTCACAATTATTTATATTATGAGGCATATAAAGTCAAATTCCCCATATATTGGTATGAAACGGCTGACCCAAGTTTGGACCTCTAATAAACAAAAGGAAAAAAAAAAAAAGAATATAGCTCTCTAGATAAGAGAAACTGCATAATGATTAACTGCCATTTATTAAGCAATTCACAAAACACAGGATTTTAGCGTATTCTCCTTCAGTAAAGCAAGCTTTTGTAAACCACAGTCAAAGCTCTCTATGATTGGAAACACCAGCTTATGCAGATCTGATCCTTGGATTATATTTAAACATCCATCTGAACTGAAACGATGCTAAAATGCTGCACTTGTCATTTATTTGTTTACCATTTATGCAGAGGCTTTTCTCTTGCACACAAAGATATCAGAATAAATCACTCAAACCAAGAATGAAAAGAAAATGTGTGCAGTGTTAAGAAGCATGATTCTTTGTACAAAGCAGGATGCGGTGAAAACTTTCACATTTGTACACTGAAAAAACTGGGGTTCCACAAAACCTCCTCCAGATAGTTTTCATATTTCCATTAAACATAGCCACATAAAACAAGAAATAACTTACAATAGAAGGCCTCTGAAAGAGGCCCGTCTCTACAAGTTGATGAAGATCCTTGCATTCTTCCTATCAAGAAAATAAAACAAAGCGTGAAGGCAATAAAATGAAAATTTTGTGAATACATGTATAATAATGTATTCTTTATAGATCTTATGAGTTAGCTAAACGAAATAAAAAGTTAGGCATATGAAAATAACGATACACAAGCTATGAACAAAACAATGCATGCCAAGATATGATATTTGATTCTACCAGCCCAAAATAGGTAAAAATTTTCTTTAGAAAACCGTTCAAGAGCCTCCTACCAATGACGTCTAATAATTTTATGATATGTTATATACTGCTCCACAACCGTTGTTGCAGGATTACATCAATCACTCAAAATATTTACAATAAAAAATTATTTGCATAAAAATAAATTAAATATTCCTCAAATTATTTCAATCAGTTTATCAGGTTGTTGAAGAGGGTTAGTCCAACAGATAATCCTATACCAACTTCACATGAAAAAAATTGTGTTCAAATTAGTCCAAAACCACAAGAGATATTTTGTGATAACAATGGACACATATTGTATTATCCATTGACATTGCTGAACATGAATGTAGATATTATAGATCACTTAGATATAAACCACAAATTAAAAGAAACGTTAAAAAAATTCCTTTTAAGTGTTTATACTACTTACCTCTTATCCAATGATTAAAGAAAGTGTATGCATCTATCAGCTAAGCCAAGGGTGATGTAATACAAAACAAGAATTGCCTGTAGGAAATTAATAACTTGTGAACTTTGCATAGCTAATTAAAAACGAATGCGTTCCAAGATAGATCGTAAGAAAACTTTCACGGAAGAACTAAGTAATGTCAATTGATTACAATTAAAAGCAACAGGAGACTAGCAAAATTACTCCAACAAAAAAATAATAAAGCAAATGGCTATTAACAAAAATCCACGGTTTAAGATCTAGATCATTCACCTCGAAGTCCCTCACATGCACTCTTGATGTCGTTCTGCTTAGCGGAAGAGGATTACACACAAACTTAAGGATGCGACTAATAAACAAGTGATGCCGAGGGGACTAGTCGCCGGGGAAGGAGCCGGAGTTGGGGAAGCAGGTGGTCGTCCGATGAGAACCCACGGGGCTCTGGGTTGTTGGAGTTTGATCGTCTCCGTGAGGCAGTAGAGGATTCGTTTGACGTATCTTCCCACCGTTTCGTCGTATTCCGAATCGGGTTCATAGAAAGGAGAGAGGAGAATGTTGATCTCTCCTTGGGTGTTGTAAGCAAAGCCGTGATCAAGCTCCGGATCAGCCATGCATGATTTTAGAAGGATCCTTGGCGTGTGCAGTAACGTTGTGGTGGAGGAGCCGTCACTTGGGGGAAATCGGCCAAGGAAAAAAAGGAGGGAGGAGGGGTTCGGGTGGGAGGAAGGGGAGAAGGGGGCGGCTTGGGCTAGGTGGGGGTTTGGTGTGAGGATTAGAAATCTGAAATTAGATTTCAAGTTAAGTGACATTGGAGGGGATTAATTTGAAATTCAAATTAATCCCATAAAGGGGGGCAGCAGTTATGAGGGGATTAGGGGGTTTAATTGGTGGCTATTAATGAAATAGGAGAGAGAGGGGGATGGGAATAGATGGCCGGCCAAATAGAGAGAGGAGAAGAGGTATTTGGTTTAAGTGAGTGGGCCCCAAGGATTTAATGAAGGAGTAATTAAAAATCTGAAATTTAAATCAGATTTAAATCAAATAGGTAAGTTTCCTATCATAGATTTAGTCAATAGGAAACTATTTGAATTCAAAATTTTAATTGAATTTACAATAAGAAACTTTCCATATTGACCAAATTTATTTTAGGAAATTGAGTAAATGGCTATTTGAATTTTGAATTTCAAATTTGAGGGCTTGGGAGGTGGGCCGGCGGCTAGATGAGGGGAGATGGGAGGACGAGGGGGGGAGGCCGGCAATCGGGTGGGTGGTGGGCGGCAGCTTGGGTGGCCCAAGGAGGCCGGCGGCAAGGGGAGGGCTCGGGTTAGAAGAAAAAATACAAAGAAAGGCTTTGGGGGATGAGACCGGCGGCTGGGAAGTTTAGGGGAGGGGATTCGACACGAGAAAAATAAAAGAAAAGAAAAATTGAAGAACCGCGAACCTTGGAATCCACCAAGATTGACAGGTATTGCTTTACCCCACTTGGGCCTCTCCTCTCACGAACTCACTAAGAGATCATCCAAAGAAAGAAAATTGAAATTTTACTTCATCATTCATCACCTAGTACAATGCAAGAGGCCCTCCTAGAAATAGGCCAAAATGAAACAAAACTGGAAAGACACAAATGCCGTCAGGGCTACAATAGCGACTCAATACCCACAGGGGTAAATTAGAAAAATAAAATGAGAGAACAAATAAAATACAAAATAAAGGTTCTGGAACATAGCCGTCGATCTGCATCTCCGACGATGGTACATGTGTCAAAATCTGATGTCCTCATCAAAGGGTTTGACCGTTTGAGATGTCCCCATGTGAGAAGGCTAAAACCAAGTGTTCGTAAATACATTTAATTGGAAATCATCTTTGCAATCAACAGTAGCTTCATCAATCATGAAATCAGAATACATTGCAGTTTCAAAAGAAGTGAAGGAAGCCCTTGATCAAATGTTTGATGCATGAGCTACTTAATCAATATCTTTTATATAAAATACCTATTTTTTCTAAAAATCAAGATGTTTGTTAGTCTAATAATGATATTCATCATGAAAGGACAAAGCATGTGGATGTTAAATTTCATTTCATCAGGGATACAGTTATTAAAAAATTAGTGAAGATCATAAGGATTTCACTATACTGTAGGCTTGTTAACAAATCATTACCTACAGAGCATGCCCGTCGCATGCTATACCCCTTCAATTGAGCTGTTGTGGTATATGCATGTTTTTCTGTCTCCACACCTCACTTTATCATTAGGTGGCATTGGTGAGTTTAGCCCTGAATTGTGTTAGCATAAGGGGAAAAATTCTAGGTCTGGTCAGTATGATTGATTTAACATGGTTCAATTGGCTGGGTATTGGAGAGCATCCCGAATTATAGGTCCTACCTGCAAGTTATTTACACTTGCAAATTTGATTTGAAGTTGAGGGACTCACGTCTCTCCAATTTGGTGAGGTCATTTAACTTTGTATTCTGATGAGGTGATGGTCTTTTAATTTTATATTTTGATGACTTCCTCCTGTTGAATGGATGGTTGTAAATTTGTAAAAAATGATTACTATTGAATCATTGCTGGCAAAATGAGAAAGATCATGCATAATAATCTTTATACAATAAACAATCTGATGGGGACATCACATCATGGAAGGTTTATCAGAGGCGTGGCCACCGATCTACGGCCACGATTGAGTCATTGTATTTTTAATTTCTTTTATGTATTTTCTTATTTATGATGTCGTTGTATTTGTTTTATACTTTTATTTAGTTTCCCGTTGTACCATTTATTAAGGGATGTCGTATGTAAGCCCTGAGGGCATTGTCATCTTTTTTTAATTTTTGAGTCTTATGTACGAGACGATTTATAACCCCTATGTTCTCTTTGAAGGTTAATGAATGAATGATCAATTTTCTTCCCTTGTGATTTCTTTGTGAGATCGTATGAGCATTTGAGAGAAAAATTCCTAGGAGAGGGAGATCGGATCACCCACCAACCTTGGAGACGGCCGGGTTCGTGGTTCCTTATTTTGTGTCTTCTCATTAACTCCTCCCAAACCTTGAAGCCGGCCACTTAATTCCCCTCCACCGCCACCACATAAACTCTACTTCATTAGCTAAACTCAACCTCTTGCTACCTTGCTCACCCGATCCCTCTCCCCACATCCACAGGTTCCACCCCAAACCGCCGACCCGAGCTCCCTTGGCCGCCGCCCCCATCTCCTCTCCCTTCTTCCTTGGGTTTCCTAATTTGGTTGAGGTTAATTTAGGATAAATTTGAAATTCAAATCAATTAAATTTGAATTCAAATTCTTTCCTAATTTAATTATTCTATTTTAGGAAAGTTCTTAATTTAAATCTATTTGAATTTCAAATTCAAATTGGATTTAATTAAAACATTTCCTAATTCCTAAACCCAAATTTAAGGAGCCTTAATTCCTCCCACAATTAAGCCCCATTAAATCCCTTAGTCGTCGGCCCCTATTGGAGAGAATTGAGGATTTGTTTCCTAAAGCTCCATTTTCTCTCTTGGAAAGATTTCAAAATCTCCCCACTCCTCTTTGGCTGAATTTTATTAAATCTCATAACTCCTAATTTATTTCCAAAACCAAATATTTGATTTAGGAAATAAATCCCCACCTCATCCCTCATGATGCCGCGAGCCCCCTCTCTCTACCCGCCCCCTCTCTCTCTCCAATCCCTCTCTCTCTCATTAATTCCCCTCCCCGAATTTTGGGAATTAAATTTTCCCTCCTAATCCTCTACTCCCTAATTCAAAATCTGAAATTTATTTCAGATTTTGGAATTGAAATCCCTCCTTCAATCTTTTCCAAACTCCACTAGTGGCTCACTTTCTTTAGTCGACTCTCTCCTCCACCTAACTCTTGCTTCTTGTGAGGATCCCTCTTTTCTCAAGAACATCTACGAGCCTTGAAGACGCCATCAATACCACTCCGTACATGAAGTCATCGCATGGCCGATCCTGAAATCGACTACGGACTTGCCTATGATGAGCACGGTTTCGTAAGCATTCTCCAATCAACCTTCTTCGACTTCAACCCAAGGATCGACCATACGATTGAAGACTACATCGAACGCATCTTGGACACTTTGGTTGAAGCTATTGAAGAGCAATTAGAGATCGTCGAGTGGAAGATTGCCGCCGATCCTTAACGAAGTTTTTCTACTCCTCCTTTTCTCGTATTTCTTAAGTCTAACCTTCTCTTGTGATTTGATTGTCGTCACGAAGGACGCATTCGCCTGATTCTACTAAGCTTAGTAAAAGTAGGAATTTGAGTGCACTCATTGTGTACTTATCTTATTGTTAGACTAGGGATTTTGTTGAAACTACTATCTTGGCATGATGTTA